TATTTCATTTAATGAGAATACACCAAAATATATACAGATATACACTAATAATTCTTGAGTAACACACAACACCTAGGCAACTAATGTGACCGCACCCAATGGGGAAGCACAAACAATCATATAAACACACCAATAGTTATCGAATAATGTACCAGTTAATATATGATATTTATACACCAATATTATAATATAATGCACCAAATATATTTTAGAAATACACCAAGTTTAGAATGTGTTGTGCTCACAGTTCTGGGTTAGGGTTTTCGAATACCCATTGCTTGATTGATTCCTCTGTTGAAGTTATTGGGGTTTCCAGATCAGTTGCATATATGTGGGCTTTAGGCCTGATTGGGCTGTTCCCTCTAGCTGGTCTCTTTCCCTTGTCTAATGGTTGGGGTGGGGGTGGTGGATCTGAACCAGGGCTCTCTTGACATTGGTCTATTGGTGTGACCTGTAACATTCAAATTTTAGTTTTACTTTTTTCTTTTTTTCCGTTGTCAATTTAATATAGTGCATTACCTCATCATTGTTGTTACCAGGTGCATCTGGTTGAGCTTCCTTCCCATCTTGTTGACCTTCCATTTGTTTCTTGACCCTCATTCATATTCAGCTCAACTTCTTCATTTTCCATAGCCTGATCAATGTTTTAGTAGTCTTGTGCAATATCATTCACTTCCGTCCAACGTCTATTTTGTTCCTCTGGTGTCAATCCCAGGCTGAAAGATGACATATCATTTAGAAAATTTCTCTTGTTTACTGTACGGACAATCTCATCAACCGCTCTAAAAAACTCAGGGTCACTCCAGTAAGCATCTTCTCTCTGAGTAAATGTCTGTTCTCCATCCTCTTGTGCTCTGAATCCAAGCATTTGCCTAGCAGATTCACACATCTGCTTGAATGTATCATGCTCTAATACTGCTGCAGGTGCATTTTTAATTAGCCTTGATATTCTCAGTAGACTCTGTGCAATTGACCTAGTGTGGGTGGTAATCTCATCAACAAACTCCTGTATATGAAATACTATAATATAAACACACCAATATATATTGTAGTATGCACCAAATATTTCTAAAAAGTACACCACAGTTAGATTATGCACCATATTACACACAAAATGCACCAATTACCATTACAGTGTTTGGTTTACCTATAATCCTTGTGGCAGTGGTGGGGTTTCTTCTTGTGGTGGTGGGGGTGGGGCTTCACACTGTGTTGTGATCTCCAGTGGTAAGGCAGTATCAAAACGTCCATATCTAAATCCTCCAGATTTGAGCTCATCCTGTTGTCGTTGACGGAGCAGCTTAAATGTCCAGTTATTCATGGCAGGGTAGCTTCTTGGGACAGCCCTCCAGTAGAGCACCACACGGTCAACATAGAATACCTGCATTTGGTAGTTTAGATTATTAATAGGTTGATGTGTAATTAATTACAAGCATTTTGAGTGTCTATTTACCGTTAGGAAAACAATTGGTCCTCCAAACCTTCCATCACTGCTTTCCAGCCATGCCTTCTTGCTTGCGATGAGTGAATTGATGAGCATTCTACATCAATTGAGCCTCTTGATGTTGTTAACTTGACACAAGTTGTCAATGTAGTTTTGGTTCACATAACCATTTACTTGTGGCTCCACCAACAAAGTCATAACAAGTAGTGCAAAATGTCGTTTGAACCAAGGGTCAACAGCTTTCAATGTCAGCATTTTTTAGACATTTTGCGTGGGGTGATGTGGCTGTCAGCCCACTCAAAGATTTTTCTCCAGTCTGTCAGGAGATCAAATACTGCTTTACTTTCCCTCTTAGTGATTTATATGTCTCCAAGCGACAGTCCCAATGTCACAGCAACATCTTCTTCTATGATTTGTAGTCTTTGGCCATTTTGTAGATTCAATGTGTTGCTCCTTGCGTCATAGTTTTCAACCAGCCACATCCCCAATTTCCTTGGAAGGTTTGTGATTTTGAGGTCAAGAATCCTTCCCAGCCCAATGTCTTTTATGCTCTGGCATTGTTGATTGGTTAGGACTTTAATGGGTTTTGTTAGGTGTGTTGGAAGGGGCCTTATCTTTAGGTCAGTCTCTTGCTCCAAAGTGTCTATCTCATCATCTGAGTTATCATCAACTGCTTGTTCATGCGCTTCTTCATCCGGTTCTGTATCATCTTCCATTCTGTCAAGGAATGACATTGCTTCCTGTTTTCTTTGCTGTTTTGGCCTTGACGAGTCTCCTTGTTCTAATGCTTTTCTTTTGTTGTCTGCATGAAATAATTGAAATTATTCTAAATATGCACTTCTTACAAATTCCAGAAAACACCAACAATAAAAGAAATATAGACTACATTCATGTTGATCCCGTACAAAAATAACATGAAATGAAGTGCCCTAGTCTGAAATGCTCAAAAATACACAGATGGTAGGATAAATATGCACTATGTGCAAAAATTAAATGCACAACTTTTTCCCCGATATTCAAGTTACAAATTCAAAAAAACACCAATAATAAACTAAATATACACTACATTGATGTTCATCATAAACAAACAACACGCAATGAGATGCCCTAGCCTGAAATGCTCAAAAATACACCGACTGTAGGATAAACATGCACCGTGTACAAAAATTAAACACACAACAAATTTTTCACCACTATTCAAGTTCCAAATTCTAGAAACACCAATAATAAACGAAATATACACTACATTGATGTTCATCATAAACAAACAACACGCAATGAGATGCCCTAGCCTGAAATGCTCAAAAATACACCGACGGTAGGATAAACATGCACTGTGTACAAATATTAAACACACAACAAATTTTTCCCCAATATTCAAGTTCCAAATTCCAGAAAACACCAATAATAAATGAAATATACACTACATTGATATTCAACATACACAAACAACACGCAATGAGATGCCCTAGCATGAAATGCTCAAAAATACACCGACGGTAGGATAAACATGCCCAATTTACAAAAATAAAACACACAACAACTTTTTTTCCCATATTGAAGTTACAAATTCCAGAAAAAAGCAATGATAAACGAAATATACACTACATTAATGTTCATCATGCACAAAGAACATGCAATGAGGTGCCCTAGTCTGAAATGCTCAAAAAAATACACAGATGGTAGGGTAAAGATGTTATTTGCCACATTTAAGTTAAATATTCTAGAATACACTAATAATAAATAAAATATACCATTGCATGCTCGTTGTTTGCCTTTGTTCACCATTTTTGTGGTTTGTAGTGGAGCGGTGTTGTAGTATAGGTTTCGTGTTCCTCTCAGAACGTTGTGGTGTGTTCGACTCTAGCGTTTTCTCTGTTCGTCGTTGCAGTCATTCGTCTAGCCTTCGTCGCCGGAGCGGGAGTAAGTTGGAGAGGTTTCACACTTTGGGATTGTGAATAGGTAGATGGGACGGGTGTTACTTGCAGAAGTGGAGAAGAGATGATTTTGAATTAAATTAATGGACGAGATTGCGCTCCTATGCCGCGGTGATGTCTAAGTGTAGCGCGCAATCAAGAACAAGTATGGTGCGTTAGATTAGAATTGATCAATGGCAGGGATATAACTGTTTAGCATATAGCCATTAATGTGCAATCCAATTATCAATTTAGGTTTTTAGTTGAGATGGAGCACATGCTTCAATTTGGTGTCAGAGCCAGACCAAAGGTCACCGGTTTGAATCTTAGATCCACCCATAATGTATTCTTCTATATTCTGCTACATTAAAAATAGGCTTTTAGTTGGGATGGAACACATGCTTCAATTATAACCTCACCCGCATAGCCGCATCTGATCCCATTAAAAACTGAATGTTAGTTATATGTATTCTTCTATATTCTGCTACATTAAAAATAGGCTTTTACTTGGGATGGAACACATGCTTCAATTATAACCTCACCCGCATAGCCGCATCTGATCCCATTAAAAACTGAATGTTAGTTATATGTATTCTTCTATATTCTGCTACATTAAAAATAGGCTTTTAGTTGGGATGGAACACATGCTTCAATTATAACCTCACTCGCATAGCCGCATCTGATCCCATTAAAAACTGAATGTTAGTTATATGTATTCTTCTATATTCTGCTACATTAAAAATGGAATGTTATATGGAGCACATACTTCAATTGTAACCTCACCCGCATAGCCGCATCTGATCCCATTAAAAACTGAATGTTAGTTATATGTATGCTTCTATATTCTGCTACATTAAAAATGGAATGTTATATGGAGCACATGCTTCAATTATAACCTCACCCGCATAGCCGCATCTGATCCCATTAAAAACTGAATGTTAGTTATATGTATTCTTCTATATGCTGCTACATTAAAAATGGAATGTTATGTGTGCAATATTCTTCTATTCTATATTCTTCTAGGATTTCTATTACAATCATCAATTAAAAACTGAATGTTAGTTATATGTATTCTTCTATATTCTGCTACATTAAAAATGGAATGTTATATGTGCAATATTCTTCTATTCTATATTCTTCTAGGATTTCTATTACAATCATCAATTACTCCATAGTATACCATAATTAAATTATTTCACCAATACAATTAGTTTGGGCGGGAAAATTCGTCGTCAAATGTCTTTACTGACGAAATAAAAACGTCACCCGGACCATCGGGTTAGCGGTGTATGGAAAGGTATTACTGAAGAAATTAATTTTTCGTCACAAATATTACAATTACTGACGTTTTTGCATGGTCTTGATAATGTCATGGAATACATACTTTTTGAAACGAAATATTAACAAAAACATTGGTAATAGTTTGTGACGAAGTAAAATATTTCGTCAGCAAATGTGTCTTTACTGATGTTTTTCATACAATCATGCTTGTCATGAATAAATTTAATTTTACTGACGATTGTGTACATTATTATGCTATAATTAAAAAAAGTAATTGATGACTAAATAACAATTTGTCAATAAAAAGACATTTATTGACATTTTTCCATTTGCGTTGTCATCACAAAATTTAATTTTTTGAAAGTAAAAATAGCTGAGCATAGATTAATGAAGAAGAGCCAAAATAAAGCCAGGAGGGACAGTGTCCCAGTACAAAGAATTAGCATGTCTAGAGGCTTGCGCAGCAAGAGTATGAGCTATTAAATTAAACTGTCCTAATTTAAAAGAACAAGCAGTAAATGAAGACTTAATTGCCAAACAATCAGTAATTATGATCCCAATTTGAGACCGAGGTCTGGAGTTGGTAGCCGAGAGATAGCGGTGTAGATTTGAGCAATCTGTGAAGAGGGCACCGTAGGAAGCCGTGTTTGCAAACTGTGTGAAGCTGGCGTCGATGAAGCAGTTGAGCCCATCTTCCCGTTGTGGCTGCTGTAACGGCAAGGCGGTGGTGGATATTGCAGCAGCGCCCGACATACTGTTCCAGCTGGAGACAGCACCGGACGCAACACTCCAGACTCGGCTTGGCCGCTGCAAAGAAGCATTCCAAACAACAGAGTTACACGCCTGCCAAATATGATAAAGAACATCTAGCACCTTAACAAAATTATTTGCTTCTAACACACTCAATGCATTCTCAACCCAATTTTGGAAGGAATCACCCAAAACGCCATTCACTGGGGGTTTGTTTCACGTCATATTAGCTGAGCAACTTCAAAATGGATGAGGGTATGCATAGTGTATTCAACTCAATCAAATAGTTACTTTACTTCGCTTTTATACTTTCTTGTAATTATATTTAATTTCTAACATAACTTTTCTTTGTTAATATTTCATTTAGTGGCTTGTATCATGTAATCAATTTCCATTCCAACACTATACTTCTCAAAACCAAATTTATTATATAACAAAGAAATGATAAAAAAAATTATAAACTTTGGTTATACCCTTCAATTTTGGTATGCCCCTTGACATCATTAACTAAGTTGTCAAAACTTGGTGAATACCCATGAAGACATCTACAAAATCTCCACATTTAAAAGTATCCAACCTCTGAGGGATGCCTGCAAGGGATGAGACACTAACTAGACCAAAACTCCATTTTAAGAAAAACCCTTTATTACCCGCTTTCCAACATTTTAGTAAATGATTACAAATCAAATCTCAGAGAATTTTCATGGAAAAAAATCACTGGAAAATTAAAAAGGAAAAGCATAGAGTACACAAAGCATATGAAAAGCATAGAGTACTGGAAAATCTAATCCTATACAGCATAGAGTACACAAAGCATAGGAAAAGCAATGAGTGTTCAGTTTCTTGTTGTTACCTGTTCAAAAGTAAATATTCTCAGTTTCTTGTTGTTACCTATTGATACGACAAGGAGATGAAGCATCAACATTAACCTCTTTGCTATTATCAAAAACTCTAGATGTGATTTTCCTCTTCACCACACCCCCACCCCCATTCGACTTTTACATGACAGACACCAAATACTAAAATAAAATTTGTTTATGAAGCATAAAAAGTGCACTGATTCCTACCAATAGATCTATGGAGTTGACTTAAAATACTCTCCAGAAAATGTCTGCACTTCAGGAAAGAAAAAATTAAATAAACCTTGTACACATTTTACACACTAAAAATTATAGACCAGCTTAAAAGAGCATTCATACGGTCCAATATGTAATACTACTTAGAATTAACTTATCAGCTTAAGATATGAACTATTTCAAATGCTTAAAACTGTTAAAGTAATGTAATAATCAATTATCTAAAACCACAAATTTCTAACTGAAAAACCAAGCATCTAAAACTCACCCCCAGTTCTTCGTTAGCCCAATAATACTGCGTATATTTTCCTCCAGGACCACCAAATGCCTCTTGCCAAGAGTCGAGCAGTACTAGGATTTTATCCCTCACATTCATATCAGTCTGCAAATCCATAAGTTTTTATGAATGAAATTTGATTGATCTCAAAGCAAATGGTAAAATGCCGAACTAAAGCAACAAAGTACAACCCATCAATAAAACACAAAAAACCCAAAATCTGCTGTTTGATTCTAACATAGTTAAGAAAATTTCAAGTCGCACTAGTTTCTATTAAATAAAAAACACAACTGTTTATTCTTAAACCAGACATCAAAGCATATAAAAGTGAAACAAAAATTATGGAAAAAGAGTCACGTGTACACTCAAACCATGATCCAACAGAGTATCAAAAGGAAGGAACTTGCCTTCTTCTTTACAGTTTTGACCATATCTTGCAGGATATTTCTCTCTGCAATTTGAAAGTGCATATTGTCTCCTGCAGCTAAAGGGAAGGCATAGAGAACAATTAACAAGGCCTGAACAGTGGAAGCAACTGCTTTATAGATGAAGTTCATCAATAGATTTCAATGGTACACAGCTAGGGGTGACTAAACGATCGATCGGTTCCGAAAAACCGATTGTGCTTTTTTATCGCCATAACCGACCGAATGTAATACTATAGCCGACCAAAAATAATACTATATCCGACCGAAAAACCGACCATTGATTTCAGTCGGTAACCGAAAAACCGAAATTTCACAAAATATTCAACAATTAATAATTATACAAGTCTCCAAAAATCAATACTTAATACTTGGCAGAGTTTAGCTTAGGTCTCTGAATCACTCTCCGCAGACCGCATCTACTCTGACTTCCAACGGTGAAAATGGTGAAGGGACGTCAAGGCGAGCGTATGTTAGAGGAATGGTTCTCGGTCAAAGTCGCATCAGTATCCCAAAAAAAAAAAAAATACCTGACAGAATGATTGGGCAAAATAAATACTTAATACTTGGTAGAATGAATAATATAATATACGTTGTTGTCTTTGGTTTCAAAAAATACTTGGCAGAATGACTAAGCTTTATATATATATATATATATATATATATATATATATATATATATATATATATATATATAGAAGAGCGCTCATATGCGGCGGGCTCTTACGGTGCGGTCAAATTCCAGAATACACCAACAGTGTAATAAAAACACACCCCAATGAAATGTAATAAAACATCACAAAATACACCACAGACTCAAAAAAACACACCATATAACTCACCACCCCCAATGGTGTATTTCCGAACAGTGTATGGTGTTTTTACTCACACCTAATGGTGTGTGTTTGGTGATGCAGGGCTCCGTTTACTCTGTTTTGTATGGTGTATTTCCTAACGTTGATGGTGCATATTTGGTGAACTATTGGTGTTGCCGCACTGTAAGAAATAACCGCACCGTAAGACACTGCCGCACCTGAACCCGCCTATATATATATATATATATATATATGTATATATATATATATATATATATATAATCGGTTATCGGTCATAACCGAAAGTCTATAACCGCAAAATAACCGAAAATCAAAAGTTTTTTAAGATCAATAACCGAAACCGACCAAAAACTGACTTTTTCGATCGGTTCGGTTATCGGTTATCGGGCGGTTAACCGCTATTTTGCTCACCCCTATACACAGCACACTAATATGAAACAAACTAAACACAAATTAATTACTATTAAAATTAAGTTCAGATCATTTTGTCTTCTTTTCTTCATCATTCAGACTCTTCCAAATTTATTATCTTTACTTATTTACTATATTTTTTATTATATAGCCATAGGAATTTTAATTTTCAAAGACTCCTCCCGTGATGGGAAGAAAAGTTTGAAAATTATAGCTTCAGGGGGTGAGTGCATCTACTAAAAACTCAACCAGTGCACAAAATGCATTCTATAAATGTGATATCTATATAGCACAAAAGAATTCAAAATCAATGTCCAACACAAGTCATCAAAACAAGTTTTCTCTAAGTTTTCTAGAGTCTGCATCAATTTAGCTGAATGACACTATCACTATAGATATAAACTTTTGAATGAATAATCAACTGGAAAACAAGTTTTCTCTAAGTTTTCTAGAGTCAGCATCAATTTAGCTGAATGACAAGGTCAATCTATCACTATAGATATAAACTTTTGAATGAATAATCAACTGGAAAACTGGCTAATTTAATAATCAACATATATACATACAGAGAATGTTAGCATATATACATACACGCAGTACATTTCTCCATTCTTTCATTCAATATACATACACCCGGTACATTTATTCACCTACATTACATATATCCTCTTTCATAAACTAAGCTAATAATCCACAACTAACTTAGGGTTTAAGAACATTTATAGCTTTTACATATGGAAAATTCAACAATACAAATAAGAAATTAGGAATTAGGGTTACAAAATTGAGGACTAACCTGTGTTGGGAATAACACCCAAATAAGTGTGGATTTTTTCCATCCACAATAAATTGTGGAGTGAGGTATAACTCCTACAAATGTGGTCCTCTCCACCACTCCCCTATTTTAGTGGAAATTGAATGGCTAAGAGAGGAGGAGCAGGTAATTCTATAGCTATAAATACCCTGCTCCTCCTGAGCTCTAAACGCTCAATACATTCTTCTCTTCTTCTCTTCTGCAATCCTGAGCTTCGGTGTTAACTGGTCGAAAGCAACCGGTAAGACTGTTACCGTCTCTGGGCAATATTTGCTTTTAAGGTAGTGTCTTGCGCACATCACCGATTGATTCAGGATTTCTTCTATACTCAGCCTATATAAACAGTAGCCTAGATCTACGACATATTCTGACCAATTTTCCAACAGTTAAAAGCAAATATGTGTGCTTAAGTTATCATGTCGACCTTCGGATCTAAACCTCCTCTGACCTCGCCAGGCTCGAACCTCTCACCAATCTGAACTACCGCCTGTAGGCGATTAAGATGATGATCCACTTCAAGTCTGTCGAACTCTGAGCTAAGTATTATTTCTTTAATACATGTGTATGTGTTAATTCTTTTAATGGGTGTTAGAAATATTTTCATGCGTCATCACCGCATTATATTTCATCTTTTGGTTCGTTCTCTTCAGTGTGCACAACATGAGGATTGACATAACTAAGAGATAATTAGCTACATGCTTTTCGGCGCACAAAATTATTAATATTCTTTATATATTATGACTTAGTCATTATTAAATCTTGTGCTCTTGAATTTAAAGTGTAAGTAGTTATAATTACGATGATGATATATCACATAATTATCTTTTATAGCATATTGGTCTTGAAGAATTGAAATAGCAAGATCATTATATTACTTAAATATGCTCTCTCACTCTTAACATCCAAGATATAAATGGTTAATCTTGATGATCAATATCTCATGCATATTGTTATGTCTATGTGTAGGCATGTGTTTCTTGGATTTAGAGTTGTTCGAAAATATTATATATGATGTTCTTCACAAAATGAGATCAAAAAGTGATTATGCGTTAGATAACTGGGGAACATAAATTTAAGTGATGCATGATTAATTTATTAGTGGGGGTTATTTGTTCCTTCAAATTGAATATGAGATGCATATATAATTATATATCTTTGTCACATGGTTTTAAAGATTTGAATCATGTACTAAAATTATTTGTATAAAGATATAATAAGTATATATCAAAGTCTTTGGTTGCAATTTGTTTGTAACATGGAGTTGAAGAGTCATTATTCATCTATACTCTTTGCATAGCTCAGTCTTGCCAATGAGATTTGCCTCCTCATATTTTAATATGGCACATGCATACTTATATGATAATAGACTATCATATGCAAATGATTGTCTTGAGCATTAGTAGTCATATATTATTGGCATTGACCATGTCCCTTAAAATTATCATAATGACATAATTTAGAAGATGGTTTGCCTATATCTTTGCGTTCAATTGATTAGTATCTTTTGAGAGCATGTTAAACATGAAATATATAGTGACAAGCATTTTAGAAATTACCATTTCATATTTTGTATGGTGAGTGCTTTGAATATTATATAGAAAATTAACAGCGGTGTACACAAAGATAAGTGAATTGTTATTATTCACATGTATGAGCTTTATGAATTTGTTGTGTTAGAAGTGATGATTTAACACTACTGCTAAGTGATTAAATCATCAATATGATATAAAGCCTATAAATTGTGTACTTATGCACATGTCAATTTACAACATTATGTGTTATTATTGTGGATATATTACAAACATTGCACTATTTGATGAGATACATACTATATTACAGTCACATAATCTTAAATATTTAAATTGTGTACTGAGTTTAATTTCAAAGGCTTTACTCACATTTATGGTGGTAGCATGGAAAAGTCATTGTTCATGAATACTCTGTCTAGGAAGATGGTTTTTAAGAAAACTTCGGTTTCACCACTCGACCTGGGAGTTTTAAGAAGTAGGGTGTTGATCATGCAGGCTAGTTAGAGCGCCACTTGATCTTCACCTGAAATGAGGTTGACTCTCATATGTTTTTAATCAAAGCCTTGCAATAGAAATTGTTGAAGTACTGCAATAGTAATATTGATCTGCATCTTATGAATGCTTTATATGAGTTTTAATTTTCTCAAGGGAATGGAAAATTGTGCAAGTGGCAACTCTGAAGTCTCATTGTTGAGAGACATTTCCGAATAGATATGAGCTCAAACATATTCCTTGTGTATAACATTAATTTCTTATAAGAATATGATGTGAAATTTGTGATTATGTTGTTCAACTTGATGTAGCATGTGGACAACATTATTTCTATGACTTACTAACAATGAGCGTTTGTATATGTATATATATATATATATATATATATATATATATATATATATATATATATATCTATATATTATTTAAACTCTTCATTGAGTCATATTGAAATACCTATAATTCCTAATTAAAAGGTAATTGTGATCAATTGAGATAACCAAGTTTGTTGAAATATATTCAACTGTTGAGCATGTATCAGGCAGAGTGCGAAGCTTCTATAATGCTCCACAAAGCAAATCGGCAAAACTCAGTCTACAAAGGAGCTAATGTTGGGCACCAAAAATCAGTCTGGGTAAGAGATCAAATACATTTGACAACAAATATTTGTAAGTGTTGCATTGTGGGGGTAATAAACTCCTTATATTCTCATCAAAAGTTTCTGTGTGGTATTGAGAATAATGATGAAAGAGAATGTTTCATGTTAAACATGAAAATATCAAGGGTTAATACCCAAAATCGTCCTCGACTATAGTGGTTTTTCTCAATTTCGTCCTAAACGACTTTGGTGACCTAATATCGTCCCAGACTTTTGTGTTTCGCTCAATTTAGTCCCAGACTTTTGTGTTTTTGCTCAATTTAGTCCCTCATTTGTTATTCTGTCCATTTGATGTTAAATAAATAGACGATTCAGTAATTTTAATATTGGCATCTCTTTACTCATAGACATGTGAACTGCGAAATCCTTTTTTTTTTAACGAATTACTCCCAGAATTACTCCTAAAACTGCGAATATAAAATTTGATTTGCAGGTCTGGGAGTAATTCTGGGTGTAATTCATACAAGAAAGAGGAATTTCGCACTTCACAAGTTGAAAGTAAAGAGAGATCAATATTGACATTACTGAATTGTCCCTTAATTTAACACCAATTTGACGGAATAACAAATGGAGGACTAAATTGAGCGAAACACAAAAGTCTGGGACGATATTAGGTCACCAAAGTCGTTTAGGACGAAATTGAGAAAAACCACTATAGTCGAGGACGATTTTGGGTATTAACTCGATTATTTACGAGTAAACAAAGTACTCGTCAAAGTGCATGTAAGTTTGGTCAAGAGAATCAACTTACTTGAGGGCTAATTATGAGGATTAGTCGCTGACTCATTGGAAGGACTTAAAGTCCAAGTGGTAATGAATTCGTGGTGGATCCCACTTCTGTGCTCAAACGAAGCCATGAAAAGAGTTACAGAATAGTACACTAGTTGATCATTCCGACAGTGTGTGTACTTGTGAGGTTGAGCTACAGCTCTTAATGAATTCATAACTCTTTGAGAAAGGGTGGTTTTTTTTAGACAAATATAATGAATTCACCGCATAATGACATGAGTACAAAGTGATCTTGGTGACTTATACTCAATTGGGATGGTCTATGTTGAGGTAAACCTAAAGACATCCCTAACTTGAGTAGAAAAGGGCTAACCGTCTCTTATGAAAGATAATGGGGTTATCCCAAGAAGATGAGTGTCTAAGAAATATGTTGATAAACGTGGAGTTTTGGGGGTGTCTAGCTAACACCTTCACTACATATACATTGTGATTCACAAACTGTCATTTGCATTTCAAAGAACAATGCCTATGATAGAAAGAAAAGACTTACAACTGATTTAAGTACTTAACTACTCTATAAGCCTTTAAAGGTGGTCTATACTGAGATAGACTTGATAGAGTTAAAAGTCTATATTGAGATGGACTTCACAAGACATAAAAAACTATAATGCGATTAGACTTGTCAGAGTTAAAAGTCTATGGTGAAATAGACTTAGACATGGTGGAAGTCTATATTAAGATAGACATAACAGACTTGTATAAGCTAGATCAACAATGGAGAATGAATTTATACCTCTTGATCTAGTTGGGCAAAAAGCCGAGTGGCTGAAAGAACTACTGGCAGACGTGCCATGGTGGGGTGTGATACACCGGCTATGCCCATACACTGTAACTCACAAAGAAGGCACATAACGGTCATACATGAGTCTGTAAGACAGTTGATTACGACTGGAGCACTCACATTAGAGTATATAGAGCCCGAGAAGAAAAGCAGATCCTCTCGCTAAAGGACTAATTAAATAGAAAAGCCGTCCTCGATACCTCGAAGGAAATGAGCTTAAAATAAACAAAGTAAGCCAAACTTACGTACTCATAAAGCAACTGAACATGAGATGTTCTAAGCTAGGGTCTACACAGAGGTAGACCACAAGTCAAAGAGTTTGACTTCCGAAGAACCTACATAATGGGTGCTGATGTGTGCACATGAGTTCAAAACTACATCTCCTTTGCTAGTTCAAGATTCAATTCACTACTAAGGAGAAAGTTACTCAAGTCACTACGTGTCAGTTCAAGGTTTAAACCACTGCCATTAAGGTCAGCGCTCACTTCCGCTCAGACATTGACTTCATTCACACTTGTTGAGTGTGTGGGGGATGTTGGGAATGACACCCAAATAAGTGTGGATTATTTCCATCCACAATAAATTGTGGAGTGAGGTTTAACTCCTACAAATGTGGTCCTCTCCACCACTCCCCTATTTTAGAGGAAATTGAATGGCTAAGAGAGGAGGAGCAGGTAATTCTATAACTATAAATACCCTGCTCTTCCTGAGCACTAAACGCTCAATACATTCTTCTCTTCTTCTCTTCTGCAATCCTAAGCTTCGGTGTTAACTGGTCGAAAGCAACCGGTAAGACTGTTACCGTCTCCGGGCAATATTTGCTTTTAAGGTAGTGTCTTGCGCACGTCACCGATTGATTTAGGATTTCTTCTATACTCAGCCTATATAAACAGTAGCCTAGATCTACGACATATTCTGACCAATTTTCCAACATAGTAGCTTAACGCGGCAGAGGAGTTCGGAGAAGGTTGGAGCGACGCCGAAGGAGGTTAGAGCGACAGCAACGGCGGTGGATGTTGGAGCTACGGCGGTGGCTGGCCGGGGAGGGAGAAACGGCGTCGGGAGGTTCAACGGCGGTAGATGCATCGGCTGGTTCATTGCAGAGGAGGTCGGAGAAGGTTGGAGCGACGCCGGAGGAGGTTCGAGCGATGGCAACGGCGGTGGATGTTGGAGCGACGATGGGCGGTGGATGTTGGAGAGATGACGGTGGCTGGCCGGGGAGGGAGAAACGGCGTCGGGAGGTTCAACGGCGGTAGATGCCTCGGCTGGTTCGTCGGCGTCTACGCGTCGATGGCAGCAGCGTTCTACTGTACGTAGCATTCGCGTTCGTCGATGGTACCAACCGTGAAGAGGGAAGTCTTTTTTTTTTTTTTTTTTCGCAACTCTTTTTTTTCGTCGATCTACTGTACGTACTAGGCGGAGGCGCGGAAACAAAAAAAAAAAAAAAAAGTTGTTTAGGAGGGAAATGAAACAAAAGAATTTTGTTTGGGAGGCTAAGTGCTGTGAGGCTAATTTTAGCTAAAAAAAATTCGCAAAGTGCTTTGAGACTACGGTAGGAAACAAAAAAAATAAAAATTGAAAAGATTTTTAGTAACAAAAACAATTAAAAAGATTTGTAGTGTTATAGATGCAAGTTGAAAAATTAAAAGACAACACATTTATGATATTGTCTTAACAAAATAAAAAAAAAAAACACATAGACAACAATTTTTAACAAAAAGAGCGCACAAAGACACCGGTTTTATGCTAAATGACAAAAAGTTCCTGTATATTTTTACTAGGGACGTGACGTTTATTAAAATTAAAATATATAGTGTTAAAATATATACTGACATTATTTAATATAACATCACAAATTGTTATATTTAGTGACGTTTTCTAGAGCGTTTTTCGTCTGGAAATGAAAGATTTCTTGTAGTGGCTGAGGATTTTACTCTACTTTTAATTTTATATATATATATATATATATATATATATATATATATATTCTATTTTAGGTTATTCAAAGAAAAAAAAAACAAATTAGAACAAAACAACAACAATTTTGCTAATTAACCTGGTGGGTGTAGTTTTTGGTCGCAAATTATGCTGTGCAACCGAATGCACCATGCGCATGGTGCATTCGATCCAAAACGACGTCGTTTTAGTTAAAAAACGCGCGTCCCACTTAAAAAAGAAATCAGGTTCGATTCTCGGCAATAGCATTTTTATATATCCATAAATTCATAACTATATATCCACAAATTCATAACTATATATCCACAGCGAATGAATGAAGTAAAAATCCACAACTATATATCCACAGTGAATGAATGAAGTAAAAATCCACAATGAATGAACTAAATATCCACAACGATTGAACTAAATATCCACAATGAATGAACTAAATATCCTTCATAACTATATATCCATAAATTCATAACTATATATCCACAATGAATGAATGAACTAAATATCCATAATGAATGAACTAATGCTATTGCTGAGAATCGAACTTGAATTTTTTTTAAGTGGGACGCGCATTTTTAGTCAAAACGACGTCGTTTTGCATCGTATGCACCATGTGCATGGTACATTCAGTTGCACAGCATAACTATTTGTTTCTGGTGGGTGTGGTTGGGTAGAAATGACCTCATCAATCCTTAACCAAAGGTCAATGGAAGGGTTTAACTGTACTCTTTAACTTTACATATGGAACAGCTTTAAATCTCCATATCTCCATTACGCTTGCGCCCACATTGCATGCTCTCCACCCTACCTGCCCACATGCATGCACCCAGCAAATCCCCAATTAAGCCCACACAATGTAACCTAAATGTTGCTCTTGCAAATATGTCAATGTTATACACACTTAAATAACTCTTAAAACCACTAATTTAAAGCATGCAGTGATAGAATACTACTACTAATAATCTACCTCTTAATATCAATAAGTAAATAAATAACATAATAACATATTTCCTCTTCCTCGAACACTATTTATGTCGTCCATCACACAATCACTATATTATATAATGCTACTCCTTGATACCATCCATTCCCAGCATTTTCGGAAAAGCAAACTCAAACTGCAAAAAATTCCAGGAGGAATAGAGCTCTTCACTGCATCATCCACCATCCGTTCAAGCTCATCGGAGAACCCTTTCAATGAAGGGTCGTACTTGGAGAATGCGATAACCAGCGCCTTGTACTCAATTTTTAACAAACGTTTGAAATCTGAATTTACACTAACTCTCCGTTGCTGTTCTTCTTCTTCCGAGGCGAAGAGACGAGGAGCGCGGCGGCGGCGGCGTTCGTCGTACTCGTAATCTCCGACACGAGCGAAGCCGTTAAGGTAAACCTGACAGGCTGTCAAAATGGCGTGGGCCCGGGCACGGAAGTGATGCTCCAAGAGCCGCCCGAAGCCCCTGGGCGGGCGGCGGAGCAGGGACAACATCGTCCGACACGACAGCACGAACGCCGCGTCGTTGTACGTCGACGAGGTGGTCCATAGTTTGACGAGCAGCATGGGCTCGTTGTGGAGCGGCGCGTGGTTGAGGACCAAGGCCTGAATGGAGACCAGGACTTGGAGCATGGTGGACACTCCGGGCTGCCACCGGGTCTCTTTCGGGCCGCGCCACGTGTTCAGAAGGCTGAGACAAACCAGCCCGTTCTCGTACAGGTTGGGGTTCAGGTAGCGCCCGAAGGACCAGTAGTGGGCTTTGGGAGGCGCGTCGGGGTAGTTGGGCGGGAACTGGAAGTCGAAGAAGAAGAGGCCGTCGTGGTAAGGGGTTTTCTGGGGGCCCACGATTGCGGCCCGGAGGAGATCCACCCGGCTATCGTAGGCCCGAACGAAGACCGAGCCCGCGGGGAGATTTTTCTCAAGGATTTTCCACTCTTTCATCACGGCTCTGGTTGCGGCCCGGGGCAGATAGGACGTGGCAGTGCTAATAAATTTGTGATCGGAGAAGTCTGATACGACGTCGAATTGAGGGAATTGCTCCATCTTCTCGATCTTCTACTTGCATCTCCGAGTTGGAGGATGATAATGATGATATATATAACAGTTAGGTTGTGGCAAATTTATCGCATTTAATTAGGAACCCTTTTCTATCCTAGTTTCATTCAAATTAAGACTCCAAGTCCACTAAGAAGTAAGAATATATTGATTTTTTTAAAAGAATTTTTGTAGGGTTCCAAATTGTTTAATTTTAACACTGGTATTAATTGTTTGACAAAGTCAAACAGTTAATAGTAATTACTGATTAAATAAACAAAAATTAGTTGATAAGCTATTTTACCAAACATGGAGCGGTCTACTCGATCGAATACAAGTTGATGTTTGAATATATATGTATGTAGAAGTGCGCACAGAGGCTAGACATGTGCTCACTGCGCACAAGGAACCCCTCACTTTGAGCACTTTGAGAGCACTTGCTCACTGCGTACAAGGAACCCCTCACTTTGAGAGCACTTTGAAAGGTTGCTCTCACACTGCCACTGACTCGATCCCTGGTCATTCTTCCAAAGTTTCACCTCTGTGACCAGTTGAGCTGCCCATGCGGGTAAGTTGTTGTCTTCCATTGTAGGAGAACAAGTAGAGCCAAAGCGTTTAAAATCAATTATGAAGGTGAGATCTAATGACTCAAAGAAGATTGATTTGTTGAATGGGTACAGTATGGGTGTGTATGGTTCATAGATGGGAATCAAAATTGGAAATTTAGAATGAGAAGCAAATACTTAGTAAGTAATGATATGAGTTTTGGTGAAAGTATTTTGCATATTTAGCAATAGGGTGAAATTGGGATGTATGACCTTATAATAAGAATAAATTTTTTTAAAAATACAAAAATAAAAAATCAAGATAATTGATCATAATATAATGACATCCAAAGCACCCATATCAACAATAAAATAAAATAAAATAAAAACGTACACAAATCTAAAACCATTAATCTAAACTTAAAAACCATATTACCAATAAGATGGAATAATTCATTTTTAATTAGGAAATGTGATTTTTAACTAGAGGGGCAATCAAATCTCATAGTTGTGTTTTAAAAAGTTATCAACCAAACACTAACTATGATTTTGATTCTCATTCCTAGTATGTAAACCCTGAACCAAACACACCCTAAAACAAGTTTGCTCTTTATCATTTGACAACAAGTTTGCTCTTTATCATTTGACAACAAGTTTGCTCTTTATCATTTGACATTGTCATCTTTTTTGATCTTCTTCTTTAGGATGGCCTCCCAATGAATACAAGAACCTTTCGTGGAAATGAAATGTTACACTGTTACACCTACAGGTGCAAGCATCAAAGAGTGTGTTACCTTAGTTTAGTCTATTTTAAACATTAGGGTTTGTCATATGTGAAGAACGGTCAATCGAGTGGCTCACTCGTTGGCTAGAGCATCGAGTTTCATTCTTCCTTGTCTCATTGGACATGCTGCCTAAATTGTATTCGTGATGACTTGATTTCTTCAGTTAAATATTAATACAGTTTATTGCTCAAAAAAATAATATTGAAATTTTAAAAGTTTAATCATTTTTTAAAAATTAATGGTGTTAATAATTATCCTTAACGAAGAGTAAGCTATGCTAAAACATGTTCATGACTATTTTAAATCTCTTTTCACATAAGATAGGTGCACTCCAGTTCAGAAGAGCTGGGAAGGATCCTTTCCCATTTTGCATGACTCAGTCTTGAAGAGAATAAATGAGCTTTTTACGTATTCAGAAATCAAGCAATCTCTTTTCGACATGTCTCCTTCGAAGGCGGCTGGACCAGATGGGTTTAGCGCCGGATTTTTTCAAAAATCGTGGGAGGTAGTCAGCAATTCGCTGGTCAAAGCTTCTTTAAGTTTTTTTTTTTTTTTTTTTTTTTTTTTTTTTTTTGATTCAGGTGTTTTGCAGGTAGGGGAGAACGACACTACGATTGTGCTCATCCCCAAAATCCCAAACCCAGAATCGGTTAAGCAACCCTGGTCGATTGTCCTTTGCAACATATCTTACAAAGTTATCACAAAAGCCATGTCAACCAAACTTCGGTGTTGCATGCATAAACTAATTGGTCCAAACCAATCTAGTTTCGTTCTGGGGAGGCAAACGGCTAACAATATACTAGTGTATAAGAAGTCCTAAACTCTTTGAGGAATAAGAAAGGTCCAGTTGGATGGATGATCCTTAAGGTAGACCTCGAGAAAGCCTATGATAGGCTGTCTTGGGAGTTTATCGAGGATACGTTTCAAGAAGCAGGCTTCAACCAATGTTGGATTAGGAATATTATGTCTTGCATAACGTCAGCCCGCTTAGCAGTATCCTTAAATGGCAATCGTTCGGATTGGTTCGGCAAGGGGATCCAATTTCTCCGGTAATCTTTGTGATGTGCATTGAAAGATTTAGCCATTTAATCAATCACATGGTTACTGTTGGTTCTTGGAAGGGCATTTGAATATCAACAAATGGCCCTCATGTGTCTCACCTCCTGTTTGCGGATGATATGATCCTACTAGGTGAGGCCTCTATTCAACAGGCTATGATAACTAAATTCTGTCTTTATCTATTTTGCAGGCAATCAGGCCAAAAAGTCAATCTTCTCAAATCCTCCCTGCTCTTCTCGAAAAACACACATGTGGAGTTGCAGCATGATATTTCAAAATTGTTAGATATTCTAGTATCCACAGATTTAGCCAAGTACCTAGGCGTGCCCTCTTTCCATGGGAGGCTAAAAAAAAAAGAACCTTTGATAGTGTGATCATCAGAATTGAAGCTAGGCTAGCAGGATGGAAGAGGAGGACGCTATCTCTTGCTGGAAGAAAAATCCTTATTCAATCTGTCTTGGCAGCTATCCCTGTGTACATTATGCAGACATCGCTTCTTCCTGTTGTTGTGACCGATCGCATTGAAATAATCTGTCGGGACTTCTTGTGGTGAAGCTCAGAGGATTAGAGGTGGTGTAATCTTGTTGCATGGAGGACTGAACTAACTAACTAAGGATAGGAATGTGGGAGGCCTAGGAATCCGAAGAATGGAAGCTTTGAATACATCCCTTTTATCCAAGCTTGGTTGGAAATTGCAGGTCCATGATGAATCTCTCTCGACGGAAATTATGCGAGCTAAGTATTCAACTTTAAGTGATGATCCATCCACTTGGCAACCCAAAGCAAGGATGTCAAATGCTTGGAAAGGAATCCTCAAAACTGTTCCAATCCTAAAAAAGGCACGAAAAAGTTGGTTCGAAATGGAAGGAACACCCTGTTCTGGCTAGATTCCTGGGTTGGCCACCGCCCTCTCTGCAAAGTTATGAATTCTAGTCTTCCTCTTCCGGAGTTATATGCTCGAGTTGCAGATTATTGGGATGTTGCCACGGGTTGGAAATGATCTGAGATACACATTCTCCTTCTTCCAGCAGTATGTGATGAAATTGATGTGATCGCACTTGTGCTTGATGATGATCAAGAGGACATGCTAGGTTGGGGCTTTGACGCAAGGAGCAAGTTCTTTGTCCGCTCCACCTACTCTGCAATTACGGAATAAGACGAGGCAATGGATACTAGGTCATGGGAGAACATCTGGAGCTTGAAGGTGCCTAGAAAGATTCATACCTTCCTCTGGCTAGTAAGACACGACAAACTCATGACTAATGTCAATACACAGAAGCGCGGATTCACTAATAGTAGTGATTGTGGAGCATGCAATGAAGGAGAGGAATCCATTGAATACATTTTTAGGAACTGTGTCAATGCAAAAGTTATCTGGGAAGTAATCCTTCCGAATATGCAACAGACCACCGCATCCATGCCGTTTACAATGTGGCTTGATTGCGGGATTAGTGGATTCAAAAGAGGCAACCAGACACAGACCAATCGAATCCTCTTTGTGGTGACACTTTGGTGGCTATGGAAGTACATGAACAACCGATTTTTTAACGGGGAAGATCCTTTACCCAGGTAGAAAAGTTTTTGGATTCAATCTCAAGTGGTGGATATCAACAGAGCTTTTGATCGTGCGACTAATCAGATTGCTAGCACAGCTACCATCTCATGGAATACACTCTGATGAACCAAACCCCCACCAGGTTGGTGTAAAGTTAACGTGGATGGTAGCTTCAATCCCACCACGAAGAAAGCTAGCTGCGGTGGAATTATAAGAGATGACCAAGGTTTATGAATCAAAGGCTTCACTTATGGCATTGGTTCTTGCATTAGAGTAGGGTGGCGGAGGCCTGGGCCCTACTGAAAGGTATCCAAGTAGCGAAGGATTTAGGCTGCATTAGAGTCTGCTTTGAGAGTGACTCCAGGGATATAGTACAAGCTATGAATCACTGCAAACCTATTGGGGATATCTCAGACAACATTCTTAATGCATCAGACGTGAACTTGTAAGCATAAGCGAATGGAACATCGAGCTGATCTCTAGGGAACGCAACACGGTTGCTAACTTCTTGGCAAAAAACTCTGGTGTTCAAAAAGGCATTTCTTTACTTAGCCAACCGACTGCCAGTCTTGTTCAAATGTTAGAAGATGATAGTCTTGGCCTACCTGTGTGGCGCCAACTTGTCTTGCCAACTATGTAATTTTGGGTATCCCCTTCCTTATGATCCAAAAAAAAAAAAAAAATTATCTTTTTAGATATTATACATACATATTAATGTATTTTTTTATTTTTAAAATTTGAAAAATCCTAAAACGTTTTAGGAAATTTTCATAATTTTGTGCTTAACGAATCATGAACCCAAACATGTATTTCCCTGCTCCAAAATGACTTTGAGATTATTGCTAGAGCTGTCAAAACGGGCCCAACCCAACGGGTTGGGCCCGTTTAGGGTTACACGGGTCGGCCCGTATAACCCGTATCCCCACCCACTTGTATAATTGGGTATTTTATTAATATTTAAAAAGATGGTTGCTAACAAGACTTGAACTTTTGACCTTTTACTTAAGTTATCAAATTATTACTATTAAAACCAATTACGCTAAGAACACATGTTAAATATTTAATATAATTATATATC